CATTCCTTGGCTGTGGCTGCACAGCTCCGTTCTGTGCCTCTGCTTTCCACCACTTTCTCCTCAGCCTGTGTCAGCCACTCCCTCTAACATTGGTGTGCAGAAGACTCGGAGTGCATCAAGGTCCATCTCGGTCCAGGACAAGCTCCCCTTCAGATCCTCAACTTAGTCACATCTTCTGCCATGTACTGTAGAGTTCATTTTTTAGCCTGGGAGTTATCTGGACAAGACTGTGTGGGGCCATTTTTTACCCTCCTGTGCTCCAAGTCCATGACCTAAATGCCAAGAAATTCAGTTAGCAGATCACAGGTGATAAACTTCCCAGGGATATGGAAGGGCCTTTGTCCTCTCTTGGTGTGGAAGAGGTAAAAGAACCGTCAGGTGACAACTGTGATATCCGGACCACCTCTGTCTGCAGTTGTCTGGTCTCCTTGGCAATTCTCCACACATCAGCCAGTCTTTAGCCAGTGTCCTGGGGACAGCTGTGGGAGCCCTACCTCATCTTCTTCAGACTAACTGTGAGCCATCGAGTAAACCATGTGAAGTCTTGGCCGAGTTCCCAGAAGGGAGACTTGAGGCCATTACTTCTGCTTTTGAGGTTCTTTTTAAAACGCCAAAGCTTGGTCTTGGTTACAGCTCTCTCCTGGCTCCTTCCTTCCTTCCTTCCTTCCTTCCTTCCTTCCTTCCTTGTTTTCCTTCTTTACTTCCTTTCCCCCGCTTCCTTCATAAAAGGAAGTTTTAAAATTGTTCTTTTTTTCCTATTATTCTTTATTTTGTGAGCAAGGTCTTACTCTATAGCCCAGGTCTGGAATTCTTAATCTTCCTGCTTCAGCTGCCTGAGTGAGTGCTGAGTTGGGATTGCATACATGTACTATCATGCCTGGTTTAAAAGCTAGTTCTTTATTATTATTACCATTGTTACCATTATTACTATTATCAAATTTATTAGACACTATAATGGGTTTCATTGTGACATTTGTGTGTGTGTGTGTGTGTGTGTGTGTGTGTGTGTGATTACAGTTGTTTTAACTTGCCCCTCTCCCCATACTCCCTGCCCCCTTCCCTTCTTTTATTTTAATTTTAATTTAATTTTATTTGTTAGATGTCTTCTCTGGATGTATGGTTGTGAACCATGTGCATGCAGTGCCCAAGGAGGCCAGAAGAGAGCATCGGGCCCCTGGAACTGGAGTTACTGATGGTCATGGCCCCAGAGGTGCTGGGGATCAAACCTGGCTGCTTCCCAAAAGCAACAAGTGCTCTTGACCAGCCCCTTCCCTTTCTTAAAAAGAAAAAGAAAAGGAAATTCTTATATGTCAAAGCCAAAAAAGTTGATCTGAGGGACTAGAGAGATGGCTTAGAGGTTAAAAGCGCATACTGTTCTGCCGAGAAACAGAGTTCAATTCCCAACATTCACATGGGGTGCCTTACAACCACTGGAAACTCAAGCTCCAGGGTAGCCCATGCTTCTGGTTTTGGCAGACACTTGCACTCAAGGGGCACATAGTTCCTACACACACATACATATAATTAAAATAATCAGAGCCAGGCAGAGGTGGTGGCACATGCCTTTAATCCCAGCATTTGGGAGGCAGAGGCAGGAAGATCTCTGTGAGTTCAAGGCCAACATGATGTATAGAGATAGTTCCAGAACAGCCAGGGCTACACAGAGAAACCCTGTCTTGAAAAAAAAATTAAAATAAATATATTTTTAGAAGTTGACCTGAAAGTAGAATATAAGTCACTTGTGATTGGGCTAGGGGAAGGGTAGAAGAGGGTGGTGAGCCTAGTCAGTGTAGGTCAATGTGTGTGTGGAAATAGCACCCAGAATCCCAGCACATGTACAATTAACAATGCTAATAAAAACTACCTAGTGAAAAAGAATTCAAAAGCCTAAGATACAGCTGATGTTGTATACAGGTGACATTTCATCTCACTTCATAACATGTGATTTGTGAGTACCCTTAAAATGTAATGACTTAGGCTGATGAGATGCTCAGCAGGGCTAGGATACTGGCCTCCAAGCCCGATGGTCTGCATTCAATCCCTGGAACCCACATAGTAGAAGGAGAGCATCAACTTCTAGAGTTGTCCTCAGACCTTCACACAGAAGCCGTGGCACAAGTGATTTCCCAACCGCCTACCCACACACACTAAGAAGTAAGTCAGTTTTTAAATGTGATGACTCCCGGTTTAACCTGGGCTCTGATTATCCATCCTTGTATTAGTGGGGGTTCTCTGGAGGAACAGAACTAAAAAGATGAATATATGATTATTAGATTGGCTTGCAGAATAGTTGTCACAATCCAACACTGGCTGTTTCTTATCAGAGAAGCCAGCCAAGAACCTGGTAGTTGATCAGTCCACAAGGCTGAGTACCTCAACAGTCCCACTTTAACACCAAAGGCCTGGAGGGTTCCTGGAGAGCTGCTGGTCTTCAGTCCACACTGGAAGTCCAGGGGGCTGGAGAGATGGCTCCATTGTTAAGATCACTATCTGTTCTTCCAGAGGCTCTGGGTTGGATTCCCAGCACCCACATGGCTACTCACCTTGGAAGTCCAAGGAAGCTGGTTCCAGTGTCAGCAAACAGCAGCGGTGGTACAGGGTAGATGCACTCAGCAGTGGGCGGGAAGGCCAGGCCATCAAAACACGAAAAGCTTGCTTTCTTTCTGTCCTTTTATCTGGCTGTCCCCAGAAGGCACTGGCCACAGTTAGGGTAGGTCTTCTCACATTAATTAAGGTGATTAAGACAATCCCCCACATATGTGCCTACAGGATGACCTAAGATAGAAAAATCCCACATTAACACTCTCTTCCCAGGTGATTCTCAGTGTGTCAAGTTGATAATTAAAACTATCAAAAGCTTCATCCACCATTTGGAAAGATTCTGCACAAGGAAGAATACTAAAAAAATGGGAAAGAATGGGCATGGTGGCATACACCTGTCACTCCCAACTCTTGGGAGGAAGAAGATCAGGAATTCAAGGCCATCCTCAGCTACAAGGCCAGCCCAGACTACATAAGACCCTGTCTCAAATAGATGAAATAATAATGATGATGATAATAATAATAATAATAGGATAAATGAGCCAACGTCGATTAATTACTATGTTCTACAAAGAGCAACAAGTCCCTTACATGAAGAAAAAGGTGAGTCATTGCTTGCAATGTGGGCTGGAATGTCTCCAGGAAGAAAGCTCAGTTACAACCGACTGTTCAGTCATCTGACCCTCCACTGTCTCAGCGCTCAAGACATATATATGTTTATGACAGCCCTTAAAATATTGAGAAACATACCATGAAAGAAGAAAGTATATAATATACACACACCATTTAAGATTAATAATAAAACAAACACAAAGCACTTCATAAAAGAAATAACAGTGAACATGAAAGGCTCAGTATCACTGGGGGATGAAATATTTGACATTCTATTGTGGAAATGCCAACACACAAATTATCCCTGTTCATTTTTATTGCCATAACTCTGTATTTCCCCACACAGGGCTGAGCAAACATTTTATCAGGAAAGGTAAAGAAAGCCCACTGTTAACCATACCCCACCAAGTAACTTGGTTGCAGATGTAACAGCCTTGGCAGCTGGGTAGTTAGGATGGTTGCTGCACTCAGCAAGGCATGAGAACAGCACATCGAGGGTGATAATGAAGCACAGTGAAAGTTTAAAAGATTACACGAGAAGAGCACTGGCTCCTTTTCCGGAGGACCTGAGTCTGGACCCTAGCATTCGTGTTGGGCGGCTCACAGCTGTCTAGAACTCTAGCTCCAGGAGATCCGATGCCCTCTTCAGGCTTCTTTAGGTACCTGCACACATGTGGCATACACACAGAGAGACACATACACATGAAACTATTTTTAAATCTTAAAAAATTCAGCGTGTGGTGGTGATGGTGCACACCTTTAGCCCCAGCACTCCAGAGACAGAGGCAGGTGGATCTCTGGGTTGAAGGGCAGCCTAGTCTTCAGAGTGAGTTCCAGGACAGCCAGAGCTACACAGAGAATCCCTGTCTTGGGGTGGGAGGGGAGCCACTGTGCCATTATACTTCCATCTTCCATCACAGACTGATGCCTTGGACTTGGGTCTGAAGCAGGTGGGACATGAAGGGAGGGTTTGGGCCACACTGGAATCTGATCTAGGCCATCTTCTAAAGAGCAGGCACAGTGAGGAGGAGGGCACGGGTAGGTCACGTGGGCTGGAGGCCTGGTGTCCCTCTCTGGTGGCCGTTTGGTCACAGGAGAATTTGTCGGGCCCCACCCGACTATCGAACAGTCCATGAAGGGAGGAATGAGGATTAAGAAATAAAAGAAAAAGACAGAGACACAGACTAGCATCAGGAGGGCTCTGGGTCAATACCACAGTTGCCTTGAGTTTATTCCTCATGAGCTTTTTATACACCAGCAAGGAGAGAGGCAAAAGACCCCCCCACACACACCTTCAAGGACATCACGGTTCAAGGTACAAACAAGTGTGAATGCTTCCTTAATTCCCAAAACATCTAGAAGCATCCTGCAACCAGGCCTTTGGTCAAAACTTCCTATTATGCAACCTTGTGGGGCAAAACAAGCTCAGACTCTCTGACCTTGAGTCAAGATGGAATAAGGCCACACCATGGAGCCTCTGTGGGCCCCCACAAGAATACTCATACCTTCCTGTGCCTCAGGGTCTCACCCGTGACAGAAGCAAGGTGATGTTATGACAGAATGAGTTAGCGTGGGAAGTCCCTAGAATAGAAGCAGCCATAGTACGTGAGAGTCTGCTGGGTCAGCAGTAGGACTCTGCAGAGGCCTGGGAGACACAGCCTTCCCATCTCATTGGCTTGCCTTCTGCTCCTCCAATTGTACAGTCTACCCCTGTTCCCACAGGTTCAGGGCTTCACGGCACTTCAGGCCATCTCCTCAGATCCCCAGCCCCTCCCAGCATCAATCTGTACATGTTATTTCTTTAATGCATTTATTACCATTTGAAGGTTTTATTAAATTTTATTACTTTGGGGATAGCAGAAAGTCTCCCACTACTACAAATTATGTAGCCAAGTTTCCCACATTTGGGGATAAACTGGAGGGGTCAGAACATCCAGAGTGCAATGGATAAGCCTCACCTGGAAAAACTACCTTCATGGTCATAGGCTCTCCCCTGACAGGTAAGTGTTGAAATGTGCATGCGCATGCATGCACACACACACACACACACACACACACACACACACACACACACACACATACTCACAATCCTCCTGCCTCAGAATCCCAGATGCTTTAACAGGCCTGAGTCACCATGCCTATCTCTTACCTTTTGAAATGATTGCATTTTACTATGTATTTGTTATAGGCCTCCTTCAATAGGGGAACCGCCTTGTTCCAGTTTGCCCAGGACTTTCCCAGGGTTTGCTCTGAAAGCTTCCTACAAACTCCAGTCTAAGCAGCCTTTGCTCAGGGTAAGTTATCTAAGTTCAGGGACTAGCTCACTGTTGTCTCTATGCCTGAACATCAACTATCCCATAGCAGCTCCCAGTTCACACTCCTGGAATAAAGGAAGAATCAAGAAGTCAATGCAATAGAGGTTCCGTAGAGGACATTCACTGTGAAGCTCGGTAGAGGACACTCAACTGGGAAGCTCGGTAGAGGACACTCACTGGGAAGCTCGGTAGAGGACACTCAACTGGGAAGCTCGGTAGAGGACACTCACTATGAAGCTCCATAGAGGACATTCATTGTGAAGCGCAGCCATCTGACTCAACCAGAGACAGACCCAGTGATACCGCTTTTATCATCTGTCAAGGCTGCTTTAACCTGCTGCTTTAACTGAGACTAGACACCTGATTCTGGCACACTTACCTGTGTTTATATTCCTGTCTCCATGGTTACACAGGCGCCTTCAAGGTCAGCAGCTGCTTTGCACCCCAAGATCAACACACACCAAGTCTGGAGACCAGGTGATCAAGGCCAGGTGTCCATTTAGAAGTCAGCACAAAAGCACATATCATTTCCTTGTGGACTGAATGCCTGGAGCCAAACCATCACAAAATCACACTTGGTTTGTTGGGGCTCTGAGCTTTCCCTCACCCTGCAAGCTGTAGACAAAGAAAGGACACACAGACACACAGACACACACACACACACACACACACACACACACAATCATCTAAACAAGAGTTAGAGGTTAGAAGGATGTTTCACAGCGTGAAGAAGGGGAGATGGCCAATGGGAAATGAGGAGCAAAGACAGGTTTCTGTTCCCTATAGTAAAGTCCTGCCACTCAGCCACTTAGGGGAATCTAAGACTTGAGAGAGGAAGTCTGGAATCCTGTCCTGCACCCCACTGTGAGGATGACACCATGAACAAATTGTTAGCCTAGAAGTAAGTGCCACTCCTGTGTGACTGTGAAAGTTGTATCTAATTTGCTCCAGCTATTGGATAGGAGTGTCATTTCCACCAAGGCTTTGCTCCTGAAGATGTTTGTTACATCACTGCTGATAATCAGCTGGACCTGAGTTGGCTGGAGTAGATAGATGGTCTCCCAGGAGAGGTGGTAAGTGGGGCAGGTTATTCAAGGTAAGGGAGTTAATCAATTTCAGTTGACAGTCTGGTTTCCTGCTGTTCCCAGAGTTTTTAACAATTGGGCAGAATTACTGTCTCAATCTACCAAAACAATGGGGACTCAGAACAATTTGAGGTCTTCTAAGGAATCAGTCTAGGGCTGTGTCTTAGTTAGGGTTTCTATTGCTGTGAAGAGACACCATGACAATGGCAACTCTTATAAAGGAAAATCTTTAAATGAGGTGCTGGCTTACAGTTTCAGAGGTTCAATCCATTATCATCATGGTGGGACACGGCAGCATGTAGACAGACATGGTGCTGGAGAGGTAGCTGAGAGTCTTACATCTTGTAGGCAACAGGAAGTCAACTGAGACACTGGGTGGTATCCTGAGCATAGGAAACTTCAAAGCCCACCTCCACAGTGACATACTTCCTTCAGCAAGGCCATACCCACTCCAACAAAGCCACACGTCCTAATAGTGCCACTCCCTATGACATTATGGGGGCCAATTACATTCACACTACCACAGGCTGAGATGTAGTTCAGTGATTGTGTGGCTAGATTTGTGTCAACTTGACATAAACTATAGACATCTGAGAGGAGAGAATCTCAATTGAAAAAAATGTATCTATAAGATTGAACTTTGGGCCGGGCGGTGGTGGCGCACGCCTTTAATCCCAGCACTCGGGAGGCAGAGCCAGGTGGATCTCTGTGAGTTCGAGGCCAGCCTGGGCTACCAAGCGAGTCCCAGGAAAGGCGCAAAGCTACACAGAGAAACCCTGTCTCGAAAAACAAAAAAAAAAAAAAAAAAAAAAAATTGAACTTTGGGCCAACCTGGAGAGCATATTCTTAATTAGTAATTGATGGGGAGGGCCCAACCCATTGTGGGTGGTGCCATCCCTGAGGAGGTGATCCTGGATTCTATAAGAAAGCAAGCTGAGCAAGCCACGAGGAGCAAGCCAGTACGCAGCACCCCTCCATGTCCTCTGCATCAGTTCCTGCCACCAGGTTCCTACCCTGGCTTCCTTCAGTGATGGACTATTACCCGGAAGTGTAAGCCCAATAAACCTTTTTCTTGCCAACTTGCTTTTTGGTCATGACGTCTTATGGAAGCAATGAAAACCCTAACTAGGAGAGTGATGTAGTGTGTATTGAGCCTGCCAGAGGTCCTGGGTTCAATCCTAGAAACACCAAAAAATTAACTCTAAGGATAAGTGATTTTAATTTAATTTTGGATATTAATACTTGATATTCATCCTTGAAGTCATGAGGGTAAAATATTTCAGAATACACCCCTTTAAATGAGAGGGGTAGGGACTTTGAACTGTGCACTATGGGATGGAGATGTCTACCTCCTGCCGTTGGCAGCAAAACCAGTGCGGTTTCTACTCCAGGGAAGTGTTCCAACTTCTTGGCTCACAGAAAACTCCACCTTGTCTGTTGTTCCTCTGTTAAAATCCCCCTGCTCTGGGCAGCCTTCCCTAGATGCTGTTATTTACCTGATGCCTTCATGCTTTTGATCTCCCTTTGTGGCCCGGGCATTCTTCCAGCCACCCCCGCATGTCACCATCATCCTGCCTGGTCTCCTCACATGCACCACTGGTAGCTCCCCCTTCTGTCTAAACCACAAGCTTCTGCGGGAAGATCCTGTGCACTGCTAACTACTTACTGTATTCTCCCAGAGCCCCACACAGTGCTCTGCTCAACACAGGAGCCTGATAAGTACTCATTAAATTAAATCCAAATGCAGATTGGGGCCACCTGGTCGACATAACAAGTTCCAGGCCAGCCAGGGCTGTAGACTGAGACCCTATAAAAAAATAAAATAAAATTGAATCCAAGTGGGACAGTGTCTGAAACTGACAGGAACAGTGGAGTGAGCTGAGAAAGGAGTGTGCCAGGTCAGCAGAGTTCCTAGTGGTTAGGTCACCCTTGGACCTCAGACGGGTGGTATGTGGCTTACGTCACAAACATTTTGCACCAACAAGCAGTGTGTGTATGTGTTTCATGTATGTGTGTCATATGCATGTATGTATTTTGTGTGTTGTGTGTGTTTACCGTGGTGTCATTTATAAGGAGATTTGAAATCTCAGCTGGACAGTGCCACTTTCAGGAATCTGATTTCGTAACAAGGCCATTCAGAGGGAAACCTGGGCCCAATTCTTGTATGTGCTCAGCCACAGGGCCGACATAAGCCACTCTGAAGTCAGAACAGGGAGCCAGGAATAAGTGCGAACCAGGAGCCATGAGGACTTGTTTGGTCATAAGACGACAGCGAGGAAAAATCTGCAGTCTCCATGGAACATTTCCACCCTCTTCCACCAGCTGTGGAGGAGGGTGGGGAAATATGTCATGATCTGCACCTCTGCCCAGAGGATGGGTTGTGTCATTTTTCCTGCAACAATCCGTGCTTCTGGCTGACAGCATGGAATTTCCTCCTAGACTAAGCTGGCAACTGCTCATACAAGTAGCCAATCAGGCTGTGCAAAGGCAGCAGCAGAAGCTTGCTGGGATCTGCTAGAGGGAGGAGGAGGGAGAGTGAGGGCCTCTGCACACAACACTCACTCCTCAGTACTCCTATATCTCCAACCCCTCCTCACCCCCACCCCCCACTAGCATACCTGGTGCTTCACAAAAGTCCTTGGTCAGGCCCTGCCTGGGCCCAGGGCTGCAGGGCGGCTCTTCTACCCCACAGGGTCTGGGACACAGTACTATATAACCAAGGGAGGCTATAGTGGCCCCCATAGGCTCATATATTTGAATGCTTAGTCCAGGGAGAGGCATTATTTGAAAGGATTAGAAGGGTTGAGAGTGTGGCCTTGTTGGAGGAAGTGTGTCACTGGAGATGGGCTTTGAAGTTTCAAAAGCCCATCCAAGCCCTGTCTCGCGCTCTCTACTTGCAGATCAGGATGTAGCTCTCAGCTACTGTTTCAGTACCATGCTTGCTGCCGTGATGCTAATGAACTGACCCTGAAACTGTATGCAAGCCCCCAATTAAATGCTTTTATAAGCATCGTTGTGGTCATAGCGTCTCTTCACAGCAGTAGAACACTGACAAAGACAGAGGTCTTCCTGAAAGATGTAGGTCTCAGAGTGTTTGCAGAGATGGTGTCTAGTTCTTATGACAATTAATCTTGACTGTTAAAAGATACCTAGGAGTAGTAAGACTAACCTCTGAGTGTACATGTGAGTAGTTTCTAGGGAGGACTAACATGTGGGGCAGTAACTGAGAAGGAAAGACATTCCCTGAATGTGGGTGACACTGTCCAATAGGTTAGGGGTCCCAGATGAAGTAAAAGCAGGAATGGAGGATGCCAGCCTTTCATGCCGACTTCTGCTACAGCTTTCCAGGGGCTTCCAGGCATCCCTCTGTTGTAGGTTGGTCTTTGGTCTTTTGGGGGGGGGGGGCTGCCATCCAACTCCCAAATAAATTCACACCTAGAGAGTTAGTCTCACTTATGAATGCCTGACCTTAGCTTGGCTTAGTTTCTAGCCAGCTTTCCTTAACTTATCCCATCTACCTTTTGCCTCTGGGCTTTTCCCATTCTCTTACTCAGTAAATCTTACTCTTACTCCGTGGCTTGCTATGTAGCTGGGTGACTGACCCTAGA